AGTGAGATCAGATTAGTCTCAGTATAAATATATAAGATTATATTAATTCATTAATAGAGCTTAACTGATTTAAACTTATAATTAAATTAAGTAATTTAAATTATAATATATAAAACTGAAGTAGTGACTAGTTAATAGTATTATATAGAGATAGTTATTCAGAAGCTATATAAATAAACTTAACTATCTTACTTAAATAGTGAGCTCATAGACTACAGAGTTATTATAAGAATATCACAGATATAATACTTAGTATACTAAGAAGATTATATAAGAAACACAGTAACTCTTATATATATTTCAGTAGAAGAAAAAATAAATTACTGACTTCTTTAATAAAAAGTCAGTATCTAGTTATTCTATATAGATAATGAGTAAATACTCTTCTTTTATTTTATAAGTAAGAATAGTCAGAGTGATATCTCAGCAATGTCTTACTACTAAGAAAGAGTAATCTGCTAATCTTATATAGAAGCAGAGTTCTTATATTTATCAATCAGATCTTTCTATGAAATATTCAAATAATATTATAGAGTGATTGAAAACTGATTTAAATAGTCTGTGAGATGAATGAAATCATCTGCATAAAAGTGATGAGCTGTGTGAAACCGTAGCAGAGTCTTGACACGGTCAGAGATATGACAGAAGTATGATAACTGTATAACAGAATTTATATCTTTAAAGATGATTATAATTCACTGTCTGTGTTCTTCTTCTTCTTGAAATTCAATCTCATCAAAGTTGTAGATATTACAGTGAAAAAATTGATATTAATTAAAGACAGCTTTATATTAATTAAATTAGTTAATAATGAAGCTTATATTCTTGTAAGACACTTGTTTTAAATTCATGAGTTTTTGCTTAACTTATTTGTAATCTGACAGATGTTTGATGAATTAATATATTCATATCTTACTTACTATAAGAGATGCAGTCTCTGAATCTGTATAATACTATTTTAATATGCAGTTCACAGCAGCTTCAATATACTTAATAATGAATAGATAAAAATTAATGTTTAACTGATAAATTCATATCTTAATTATCTCTTTCTGACTGTCATTCAATGCTTGATTCAGTGAAATTCTCATAGTTCTTGATTTCTTCTCATTGATTCTTTTATATAAGATAATATATGAGACTTTGAATTCTTATAACAGAGATGTGATTTTTAATTTTGAATTACTTTTATATATATTAACAGCTCTTTGCAACTGCTTCTCAGTGTAATTAGAAGATTTAGACATGATTATAATTAATGATAATTATTTGAAGATGAAGAATGAAGATATTGAAAATATTTTCTTTACAGTGTGGTTTTCTGTACACTGTGGCGCACTCACTACAGAGAGTGAGTAAGCATGGCACGGTTAGTAGTTAAACACATCCAGGCTCCAGATCCTGCACGTCAACCACGCCGGATCCTCCATATACCTGCGTTCATACATACACTCATCTCATATATCACAATTTCACAAACAGCTCTTGGAATCATGTCCACTTCATCCTGCTCCTCAGTTCAACTAACTCCCAACTCCTCTCCAATTCCCTATGATTCTACAAACAAAACAAAGAAGGCTGATAACAATGATATCGACGATGCCAAACCACGCCACCAAGCCCGGCACTCTCCATCACAACCAACCCCTAAACTCCGACTACATCTACAGGACCTTACCCACCCAGCGACAAAGTCGTTCATAAACCTAATCTCAGATCCAAATGCCGCGATTAACACGGCTCTGGCCAACATTGTAATGTACCTATACACATCCCCGCCGGAACGCAATCAATCTAGAAATACCAGCAGCAGCCATGCGCCCCGCACACATCCACATTTCAACCCTTCAATCCCGGCGACCCGCTCCGTTACCTTCATAATCCGCGACATGCCAGGCGTAGCCTACACAACCGGCACAGAGCTTGATTCAGACCACAAGGAGATACATTTTTCCCTCTCCTACATCTCTACAGTTAGTAACACATTCGCAGATGCAGCGTGCGAGCTGCTGGGCGTAATCACCCATGAACTAGTACATTGCTACCAGCACACCCGCCCTCAGTCTCACCCGGGGGAGGAAGAGCGGAAGAAGAAGAGGAAGAAGAAGAAGTCGAAGAAGATGAAGCAGAAAATGGATAAATCAGGGCCAGTAATCCCAAACCCCCCCTCAGGTTTAATCGAAGGCATCGCAGATTTTGTCCGTTTGAAGGCCGGACTCGTCCCGCCACATTGGAAACGGCCCATGAGCAAGCCTGAGCGCGGTGGGAGATGGGATCAGGGATACCAGATTACGGCATTTTTCTTGGAATGGATTGAGGATGTCAAGGTTGGGGAAGGGGCTGTGGGGATGTTGAATGATCGCCTGTTGAGGGTTGGGTATGTTGGCGAGTCGGATGGGAATGGAGACGGTGAGGATGACGGAGACAATGGAGATGATGGGGATGATGGGGATGATGAAGACGGCGGGGACGATGGAGAGGGGGATCAGGAGCGAGCGGGCGTAATGACGGACGACAAAGATCTAGCTAAATGTGGATTCTGGAGTGGGCTTTTTGGTGCGGGCGTAATGGAACTCTGGGAGCAGTACGGTGAGTATTTAGATGCATTGAAGGTAAGTTAAAGAACGAAAATCCTTCTGAATGGTAGTATCGAGCGCTCTTCGGTCAAGATTCGGGAAATTAAGTCTTCCATATAGCAACTATTGTTTTTCCCCCTCGGAGTATATATAAATTATTCTGTTCGTGACATATTTACTTTAAAGCTAAATATTTTTATTTCATTTCTACACACAAGGCCAAAGATGCGGATGCAACAACCCAACGCACGGAGTCGACGTCTTCCTGGCAAGGGTTAAAATTACACCAAATACCGAGAAATAAGCAAAGCATACAACTGAAAGTTTCGGAAGAGTGCGGCAGAGCATTCGATGTAACCATGAACAGCATAATAAAAAGGACAGTGGACTATATAGGATTTTCTGTGGGATTGGGCAAAACCGCGGCATTCAACTTCGCATATGTCCAACTTTCTCACGGCATTTCTCACAAGCAGACAGTTTTCACAAGCAGACAGTTTTCACAAGCAGCTGTCCAATTGTAAATAGATTTGAGATATGAGCCCTGGCCGCGCTTAAAAAGTAACCGTAATAATAAGGATTAGAAAAGCAGTAATGGAAAGTTTCGGCCGCATATATAAAAACTCATTTCCCAATATTGTACATGTACATTAAAAGAAGAGGGAAAAGAAAAAAACAGGAAAGTAGATACGAGAAAAAAATACATATCAAAAGGCAGAAAGTTAGTCCAATATGAATGTGATGTAGGCTAATAAAAAAGCCACGGGGTCGATCAGAAGGCCAACAGGAGAGTGTGGGAAAGATGAGCAAAAAAAAAACCAAAATGTGTTATGTGATCCCGCCTTGATATTTCCTTTAGAGCAAAAAAAAAAAAAAAAAAAAAAAAAAAAAAAAAAAAAAAAAAAAAAAAAGGAAAAAAAGAAAAGAAAAGAAAAGAAAAGAAAAGAAAAAGCAAACCATAAAAGGAAAGAAAAATTGACCCCGGTAATTTTGGTACATTTGCTTTCATGTTTTGAATCCCCTGTTTCCTGATTATACAATAACTTCACCAGGATCAACATACACCGCTTTCCAGGGCTCCGCGCCTTCTTCCTCCATAGAGCTTGGGACTCTGACCCCAAGCGGACTATACAAATACCAGCCTTTCAGCGCAGACGCCGCGGCTCTGAAGCGCGCTTCGCTTTAAGCTTCCACCTGCTCCTTCGCCAAGTTTATCTGGACCAGAGAAAATACCTACGTTAAAGACGGGGCGATTGCTCAATCGACCAGTTTCGCTCAGGATTTTCGCGACGGGATCTTCGAAGCCTTCCCGACGGCAGAGTTTGCTGAGATCCCGCGTCGGTTGCCGGAAGCTAAACAGTGAGGCCATATCGAGATGGCGACTCGTGAAGTGTTCTTTATAAAATTGCTTCGCTGCTGGCCGACCAGCATGTAGATAGACGGCGCCCACGATGGCACGCACAAAGTTTGCACAGGCTCGGTTGGGAGTAACACCTTCACGGTGAACGGGATATGGAAGTGCTGATTCACCGAAGGCATCACCGTATATTATCCTTGCGCTTGTACTGCGTTTTGACAATCCACCATCGCGCCTAAGGAATGTGCCATTCGAGTTGGTTTCAACTACTGTGTCTGGAGGTAGCCGTTTAAATTGTAGAAGACCCGGGTCTACTTCTGGTCCAGGCTCAGCAGCAAATTCCAGACCCCACTCCCTAGTCATCGCTGCCAGCGGCTTCGCTCCAATATAGGAATACATCGCTGCCCAGAGGACTTTAACTGGGAGCCGCGGATAGGTGCTTATCAAGTATTCGGAGGTGTAATACGTTAGGAGGTCACCGCCAAGAATTGAGAGGGATTTATTATTGAACTGCGGAGTAGGGTCAGCAGACTCATCGACCAGAGTGCGAGCTAGCGTCTGAAGTGGTAATCGTTGCGGTAGGGAGAGTCGAGCATGTATGGCAGAGAGCTTAGCGGAATTCAGCGAAGCCTCGACGGGTGGTGAAGGAGGGGTTGGCGTTCGGTTTATATGGAAACTTGATGAGTGTTCATCATCATTGGGTTCATTCTCCTCTGCTAGCACACTGGGGAATGCGGAAGATTGCTGTCGTATAGCTGTGAAAAAAAACTGATGCGGAGCGGGAGTCGCACACCTTGTGGTGGGCCGTATCCGCGGTGAAAGAACTGAACCGCTCCATCGGGGGAGCTGCAGTCTCTTCATTTGGGCTCCCACTCCGGCGGAGGATCTCAGTTTTCCGGGAGTGCTGTAAATGTCGCAATTGAATGAATCGTATACACGCTGAGGAGGCTTGTTCGTTCTTCTTGATAACTTTAAAGGCTTCAAAAAATTCTCGAGCAGGAGCAGGTTGGGTTGAGGTCATGTGAGAAGCAACTTCACACACTAGACTTCTTTTGTCGCTAGCGCATTTCTGTTCCTCCATCATCATTATTCGACGATTTCGCGCCGAACATCGATCTCCTCGTTCGTCAGTCGCACTCTTAAACATCACCATTTAAGGCTATATCCGAACCTCTTACTCAAAATGGGAGGTGGTCCCAGAGTCCGGTAAGTAATTCACTATGGCTTTGCTTTGATTTACTTCGTTGTTTTCGCTCAATTGAACAGCATCGCTAACATGTTGCTTCCGATAGCTACCCGAAGCACGTCTGGTCACCGGCTGGTGGCTGGTACTCTCAACCCGCAAACTGGAAAACCAATACCGCGATAATTGGCGCTGTCATGTTCGGTGTCGCTGCCATGGCCTTTAGCGTTTCTGCGGATAGAGAAGTCCGTACCAAATTTCCGGAACAAGGGAGATTTTTCCCGAGTCGATGGTGGGTTCCCCGCACCTCCTGCAGATAACAAAATACTACACGTTCAAAGACTTATCATACTTTATAGGTGGAGCAAACAAATCGGTGAACACGAAAAGGAATCGGCTGCGGCAAGCAAGTCATGAAGAAAAATGACGGGGAGGTTCATTTGGGTTGATGATCTTTGTGCATTATACATACATTCTTCCTCTTGGCGTTGATTCAATGGGATTAGATACACATACTATTATCAATCGATCAAACAATCGATCAAGCAATTGAATTTCTTTTTTGTATTTCTGAGGCTTTGGCAAAGTTGTGAGCGAGTTGCTTCGTATATAGACGGATCCGTTCAGTATAACTTTCACCATTCCACGACTCCTCTCCTCCGTCGGAATGGGATATATTCGGCATCCCTACTTGTTCGATTACAAAGCTAGCCGCCACTGTGGCACAAATCAATGCTACCGGAATCCGCCCTTGCTCACCCCATGAATTGGCAATGGAAGCCCATTCTACAGATTCTCCAAGTGTTGATCTGACAACTCTGAGCGGTTTTGTGTCATTGCTAACAAGGGACTGAGCTAGGGCTCCAAGAAACGCATTTCCGGCGCCTGTTGGATCAACCACGTTCGCCCCGTGGTATGCCGGAATATGCAAAGAGAGATCCCGGGAGAATGCATAACAGCCGTCCTTCCCTGCTCTCACCACGAGCATTCCATTTCCGTCTTGCCCAATTCCAGATTTCACTATGTCGTCTGCTATGGCTTGGTCCCCACCATTTCTAGCATTCCATGATTCATTGCCAAACATATTAGCCAACTCAAGATCATTGGGGCTGACCACGTCCACCTGTTTCAAAGCCTTATAGAACATTGGAAGCTCCTCTGGGCGACACAAATCTGGCACAGGCTCCCACACAAAAATTGGACGCCGCTCAGCAATAGGCTGTTCAACCTCTTTGCGTTGCGAAATTCTTTCCCGCCTCTGAAGAATTCCCTCGATAATCTGACAGCAGCGTTCAGGGGAGCAGACCATGTGAAATGTTTTGGAAAATACTTGAGAGTCCGAAAGCGAGCTATGATGTAAGCGAAGTTTTGGTGTAAGATACCGGAAGTCTTTTTTTTTATGCCCCGCATACAAGACGAGTCAGCAAGCTGTAATTGTCAACTGAGGTAGTTCCGATGTGCAAGTACCTGTTTACTTACCTCTTTTCTCGTTCGGGCCGTAACGATTCCATGCCCGTGTAGTAAGCCTTTCTGAAGACTCTCTCAGTATACAGGAGGTATCCCAGGATGAAATAATCTGTCGCATTTCCACCGGGAAGTCAGAGCCAGCATCGACGATCCAGTTTACTGACTGGGAATGCTCCTTGCCCGCTACAATTCGCGCGCCAACAACTGCATAGGCGCCAGCGCCTCCAATGATGTTTTTCACAGGTGGCTTCGGGGCTTCAAATTCAATCTCATCTACATTTATGAAGCGTCAGAAGCTGATATATACACATATAGCCGCTCTACTTTGGGTAGTGCAATGACTGACCGATAATGAACATTCCCAACGTGCAGAAGTCGACATTGCATAGGAATGGTGCGTTACCGGTGTCGTTTGTAGACATCCTATCAGACACATGTAGATATCCAATTTAGGTGCGAACTAATGAATCTAGTCAACTGCACAGCCTCGCGATCTCATCGGAAGTGCGTTGTAGTCCTGTGGACTGAGAGGAAGACTGATGGGAGAGGGTGGGGTAATATTCGTACAGAAATATACTAATTTTGTGGTGTGACTTGGTGGGACTTGACGGTAATTGTCGTCACGCTCTGTCACCAGATAGCTGACGTTCAAAGCTCCAACCTTAGCATCGGATATCAACGTCTCCAACATCGCAAACCTCCCTCATCTGTTCACTGACCCTCCAGGCAGTAACTTAACAGCGCCCATCGCCAGGCAGCTTTATTTCTCATCCTCTATATATTATCGTCCGGAGTCTTCGACTTTATCCGTTAACTCAAATTGTTTCGTGGGACGACCCCCTTTACTTAACACTTCATCCACGCCTGAGCATCGGGTCGCTCCCAAAGCACATACAATGACTACCAACCAAATGAACAATTTCACGACGCTCATCAAGCGGTGAGTTTGTGAAGCTACTATTTTAATAGGAACTATGGATTTCTACTTTGTTAATCATCGGGACAGCTGACAGTTTGCGATAATAGGCTCGAGGCTGCCACCTCTCGTCTCGAGGATATGGCAACCTCTCTCGAAGGTTCAGGTCCAGGCAGCCCTGCCGCTGATGGGATTGCAACAAGTACCGCTTCAGTGTCTTCAAAAACCGCATCGAGTCCTCTGCCTCCGCCGCCACCCGTCGTGGAACCGCCGCCTCGCCAGATCGAGGACTTCGATGCCCTCATCAATAAAGAGGTGAAGAACTTTGTCGAGCTTAGTGAAAAGCTTGGGGAACCAGCCGGGGAACAGGTATATTTGGTATAATATGCGAGTTGCCATGAACTACGATGCTAAATGGAAGTGCAGTCCAAAGCAATCCTTCGGGCTTTCCAAGCGGAAAGGACATACCTCTATATCGCACTGAAAGCCAAGAAACCAGACCAGCAATCGCCAGACCTTTTAAGCGACCTACGCAAAGCTTCGGATGAAATCAATAACATCCGGGAAGCGAACAGGCCATCTCCTCTTTTCAACCATTTGAGCGCCGTGGCGGAAGGAGTGGTTTCTTTGGGTTGGTTCTTTGAGCCCAGACCCGCGGAATTTGTTCGGGAATCTGTAGCTGGTGCCCAGTTCTACGGGGACAGAGTGCTGAGGGAATACAAGGGAAAGTGAGTAGACATATTCCTCACACACATTTATTTTAAGGTAAACGAATAGTACTTACCATCTTAAAGGGACGAGCTTCATGTTGCATTTGTTCAATCATATTATCAGATTTTCAAATCGCTTGTTACCTATATCAAAGAGCATTATCCGAATGGCCTGACATGGAACAACCGGGATGGAGTCGACGTAACGGTGGCCCTGAAACAGCTCCAATCCGGTTCACCGACGCATCTGCGTTCCCACCACCACCACCTCCTCCCGCCGCTGGTGCAGGTGGTCCTCCACCCCCTCCTCCACCCCCCGCTAGTGTAGCCGCTCCGCCGAAGGCAGCACCGACTGGTGACATGTCATCTGTTTTCGAGCAATTGAACCAAGGGTCCGCAGTCACCTCTGGTCTTCGAAAAGTCGACAAGTCTGAAATGACGCACAAGAATCCTGGCCTTCGGGCTGGTTCGCTTGTCCCTGAACGCGCCGATTCAAGGACCGGTGTAACATCCCCTACTTCCCGTGGCAAATCGCCGGTACCAAGCAAAAAGCCAAAGCCCGAAAGCATGCGTGCTAAGAAACCTTCGCGCAAGCAGCTCGATGGTAATAAATGGTACATTGAACATTACGACAGCCCCAGCGACATCATCGAGATACCCGCTCAACTCTCACACTCGATCTTAATATCACACTGCAATAAGGCGATTGTCAAGATCAATGGCAAAGCGAACGCAATATCAATCGACAACTGTACCGGCCTTTCCGTCATCGTTGACTCTCTTGTCAGCAGCGTTGATGTCATCAAGTCTCCTAAATTTGCGCTGCAGATTGATGGCGTAGTTCCAACTATTCTGCTGGATCAGGTCGATGGGGCAAGCCTCTACTTGAGCCAGGAGAGCTTGAACACTGAAGTTTTCAGCAGCAAATCCTCCAACGTAAATATCGTCGTGCCTCCCAAGGAAGGAACAGATGACGACTCCAAGGAGCTGCCCGTTCCTGAGCAGATCCGAACCGTTATCAAAAATGGAGCTGCCGTTAGTGAAATTGTCGAACATGCTGGATGAAATTCGTAATGTATGTTATAAAGTTCCGCGAATTATTTGGCTAGCCATATATAGCTTCCTTTCCCAACACTTTTTGTATGTCATGTATCCAGCAAGCAGAATTGGCGACGAAAGGCACAGTAGACCTTTCGCGGTTAGATTATCTATTTCCAAGCGTTGCTTTCATTCGGTCAAATTCCTTGCCGGACATTCCTCCTATTGTAAAAGAGTTTTGAATTTTACTATCAACTATGATTCCCCCCCTGTTCCCGCCAAGCTAATTTGGTTGACATGGAACCACTATTATTGTAAGTTTTCTCTCCCTCACCTATCCACTGCGTAGCAATGGCATGGCGAAGGAACATTTTGTCCCCAAATATGTCTACGTGTTTGTTGGTGATTACTACACCTACCCTAGTCACGTGCCACCCCAACCTATCCATTTAGTGTAACTCGCGTAGTTAGATTACAACACAACACAACAACGTTATCCTCCAAGAGTGTTAACCATGCCTTTTACGTCATCAGGATGAAATTAGAGCCAGTGTATCCCGTTGCTTGCTTTGCTTCCTATTTCTTTTCTTTTCTTTTCGTTTCTTTTTTTTTTCTTTTTTTCTTTTTCTTTTCTTGTTTTTTTCTCGTGTATACAGAAAACTTGACCTCGCTAAGTGTTGGCCGTTACGGCCGTTGCGGTTAGCGATCCCACTAGATCACGTGACCCATCACTATATTATGTTCTTGTAGATAGATCTATCAATACAACCTTCAACTATCCTACAGATTATAGCCTGGATGACATGTTTTTTTTTAGAACATTGCACCAACATTTTTGACACAGATAGTTCATCTTTTTTGAAAAGACTCTCACTCTTTATTAGAGATATTTCATTTTCTCTGAATCTGTCAGTCAGTAGATTTATATACTTTATATTTTTAAGAAAGTATGTTCTTCATTGTGAATGATATTACTTTTTTTTTTTTTTTTTTTATATATTTAGAAGAAGCAGTCATCTCAATATAAGTGATACATCTGTTACTTCAGAGTTCAGCTCAAGATTCAGAATCACACACTTTACTAAACAACTTATTGATAGAATAATCACTTATTATAAGAAGGCTTCTGACTTGTAAGATGAGACTGAGATCAGCTTTCATCAGAGTATGAAATTTGATAATGAGATAATGAAGAAACTTCAGAATAAAGAAAAACAGAGTTAATATTCATCTGCAGAATCTATTTATTTTAACTTATTAAATTCTTCACTATTTCTTATCTCTGAAATGCTGACTTTTAATAATGATCTGAATTAATCTATCTATTACACTGCAGACAATCTTATAAATCTTATATAGATAATACTACAGAATCAAATGACTGTGACTGAAATCACTTAATATCTCACTATATCTGTCTCTGTACAAAGAGACACTATGAGAGATAAGTTGTAGAAATATCAGAAGAAAGTTAAATATATACTAGATATTAAATCAGTGATCATATTTAATGACTCTAATTATAAAGTCTGATGTATTAATATATTAATTAATACAGAAGTTATTAATGAAACTGACATTCTATTAAGAACTTAATAAGAATTCTCTTTTATATATTATATCAACTCTGAGAAGTGAAGAATCTGTTTCAAGTCTCTATATAGATATATGCTATTAAGTCTTATTAAAAATGTTTAAATCACTATTAAAATCTTGAAAGCTGATAATACTGCAGCTCTGTGAGATAAGATTAATATTAAATATATAATATCACTGACTGAAGAATGAGTTAATATCTTCAAGAAATTGATAAAATTATAAGTTAAGAATAATGATTATCTTACTTTTCAGAGATATTTCTGCTATCTTATTATTTATTATAAGAAGCTCTGTCAGAGTACTAAGAATATATATCATGATTTTTTTCTTAACAATCTGCAGGATTACTAAAGACTGTTTATTAAGATATATTTAAATGAGTTTTTCTTCACTGATCAGGAACTTATTGTCAATATTGATATCAATGATTTGATGAAATAACTGATTAATTGTATATTTAAGAAGATTATCACTGAGTGAAAAAAGCAGTCTCAGATCAATTCTGTGACTGTGAAAAAGAATAAGAATAAAGATGAGAATAAAAACACATCTGTATGAAAGTGCACTCACTGCAGAAGACATGAATATACTGTTAACAGATGTTTCATCTTACACTCTAATAAAAAGAAAAAGAAGATGAATAAGAAGAATGATGATAAGAAGAAAGAGAAGAAGAATGATTTAATAAGTTCTCAATCAGCAGTAAATACAGTAATTACAAAGATTGAGTTCTATTTCTCTTTCACAGTCACTGAAAAATCATTCTCTAGATATTGATATTTGAACACATATACAAGTCTGAATATGATGAGTGAGCTTTATTCTTTTTCAAATATCAAATCTTTTAATGATAACATCTCTGTTGATTCTGTTACTGAGGAAACTGAGTTTATCAAGAAAATTAAGACTGTTATCTTGAAGATTGAGAGTAATGATGTTAACTTGTAGAATATTCACTATATCTCTAATATTACAGTTAATCTGCTCTCATTTATAAAGCTTGAAGATCAGAGATTCTGATTTATATTGTCTTTCACTATTCTCTCATTTTTCATTTACAGAGCTCTGAACAGTGTTATTTTTCATATAGTTCAGATCACTCAGAACAATATATATAAGATCAATGAGTAAGAGTTTAATAAGAATCTCAATTATCTGAACAAGGCAGTTAAGTATATTACAATGATGTTTTATAAGTATGATTTTAATTGAAAAGTTGATCTTTCTGTGACTGCTGTCACTACTGTTAATAATATTGATTCTGCAGATGTGAGAATACAGATATTAAAGATATCAAAGACTCTTTTGAATTGACACTATAATCTCAGTCATATTCATGCTGATGCTATAATTACTATAGTCAAGAATTCTTATACTGAAGTCACTATTAAAGATTCTAAGACTAAGTTCTTTTATAAAGAATGTGTTAAGACAGATATAATATGAGATTATTTAAAAACACTGATACCTAGATCTATTTAACTCATTGAGAAGGTTTATATTAATCTTATAGATAATGAATATACATTGAAAGACCTCTCTGATCATCTCTTAGAGTTCTGTCAGAGAATTAAATAATGAATACTTATTATCTGTGATGCAACTCACTACTGTTGAGTATATTTTTTAAAGTTCAAGAATGAGGCTGTTCAATACTTTGAGTTATGACTCAGATTCATGAATAATCTCAGATATACAGTCTCTGCTTTTCTACAGACTGATATTGATGATGTTTTTCAATTCACATGTATATACACAGTCATGAATTCATATGATATCAAATGAAAATCAATAGTATTATATTTATCACATTAGAATGATGTTTCTGAATATGAAATCTGCACTATTATAAGATGAGTTAGAGCTGCTCTTTTGAAAGATAATCTCTCTAAGAAGTTCTGAGCAGATATTCTAGAGACAGTGATTGTAATAATTAATAATACTCTCACATCTACAGTTCTTTATAACTTGAAATTTTGATTCTCTACTACAGAGACTTCTGTGATTTCAAGTTCATATAAGATTTCTTAATGTGCACTTATGAATATCCTGCTGAATGTGAGACATTTTCACTGATTAAGTGCAGAGATTTTTATTCACTTATATAAATCTCAGAAGCCTGTGAATAAGCTCTCTTCATGTACTGATTTCTATCATATTATTGAATTCAGTGATACTTTAATATATTGTCTATGACATTCTGAATCTGATAAGATTATTATTAGTAGTGATGTGAGATTTCTGATCACTGAAAAACCAGTTATTACATCTGTAGAACTCATTAATTATGTTATTAAATCAGAGCCTGATATTCATCTGATTGATGATGAAGATGCTTCTGATTAGACTGACCGTGTGACCGTGTCTGAAACCAGGACTAGATTTTTTGATTGTTTCATTACCAATTCGACTGATCTCATTACACGGTTTTAACATTAGATAGTAGTCTCATACTGTTTCAGTGAGACTTACTGTCTACTCTTGTCACATTTTCCAAATGAGACCATGATTTCCACTTCTCAATTTAAATTATTTTTATTGCTTTAAATGACTTTAAATCTCATTTGAGTGTTATCAAAAAGCATTACTTTTTAAAAAATTAAAAATAGTCTAAAAAAAACCTTAAAATGTCTAAAAATAGTAACTTTATGCCAAGAATGGGACTAAATGGGACCAAATGAAACCACTTTCTCATTTTTTTCAAGTCATGGTTTCATTTTAAGATCTGATATATAGTCACTTTACATGTTTTTTTAATAGCCAGTCCCAGCGGGATTCACGCCAAGAAATGTATGGAACCAGATCAAATGAGATCAAACGTGAAATTCATGGTCTCAGTGGCCAGTCTACTTCTGATATTGATGATCTGAAATTCACATGATTGCAGTTTGTGAAATTGCTGGCTACTTACACTTTAAGCTCTGTTACAGATAACCTTCTGAAGTTCTACAAGAATATCACATCATGATCAGAGAGAATAGAAGATTATTGAAAGAAGTTTATACAATATGAGATTATCAATCTGAAGAGATGCAATATATGAAGTTTAATTTCTAGATCTGATATTCTGAGAAGTGAACTGATTGCTCTGAGCTGTTGAATGTTTCTTGAGAAAGATAGACCTGCAGACCTGAATATCAATTCTGATGATATTCTTAGAAAATCATATTAAGTGATTTATAATAACTGACTTAAGAAGAGTTCTAGAGAAGAGATCTATACTTCTGTCATCACTGATACTGCCAATTGTATTCTTTTTACAATAGCAGTACTACACAGTTGAATACTCTGTCAAGTGAATATAGTAATGATATATCTTCATGAGTGCCTTACTAAGAAGATCTATATGAGACAATTCACTGATTTTGAGACAGGTTCACTGAAAACACTTGTCTGCACAGTTGAGAGTAGTTTATACAGCCTGAACC